GGGTTCGCTGAAAAGGAGAGTAAGGATCATGGTGACATGAGGATGTTCCTATAAAAACCCATGGAAATAACAACGATAATTCAGAAACAACATCCCACTACAAAACTAGGACAGGTATTGTACTGTAATTGATCTGAAAGAGCGAAATACCTAAAAGACTATCACTAATTAATTCAGCTTTCGATAAAATCATCTTATGATCAATTCAGTTACAAATCACTAGGTTGTATCAGAATTTAATTCTAAAGAATACTTACTGCTTGTCACTTTTACATGGAGAGAGACAGGTTAATCACTGAAGCTTTGTTTATCGATTCAAAACCACACACATTCAATGGGAATGACGCAATGCCTTTACCGGAGATATGGAAAGTGGCAACAAGCAACAAAGTTGGAGAGACAGAAAGAGAGAAAATGTATAGATAAGACAAATTGTGAAAACGTGTGACTAAACTGATATGATTATGAGTAATAATTTATGCTCAAAACCTTGTCATCCAGTTGTTAATCCTGCATCACTGTGTGATTATGAAAAATAAACTTATCTAATATGGAATTACGTTATACCACAGTGCCTAAGTTCTGCACTTATATTAATGGGAATTTCAGAAGCTCATGTTATCAAGAGACAAAGAGAGGATTAGAAAATCTGGTACAAAACAAATAGAAAGACTGTCGTATTCATAAGTATGAGATATACGATGTACATTGGATGTGAAACATACTTAAAGGACTGTGGTCCTTGATATATCGAGCTAACTAGTGGTACGTCAAAGGGAATGCTAATATCCAAATATAACTGGATTTAAAAGAAATTCTTGGTTTATATCGTCGGAAGTGACACCGAATGACCTGACGAGGAAGTAGAGTGAATTTGAAGGGTTTACAGGGAGTAAATTTCAATCTGCTTCCGAATAGTAGCTCATTCAATGAACAGACCTATCAACAGTTATCTTCTGCTCAATGCATATCGCTGTGCGGTGCTGAATGCGGGTAAAAACGACGAGTTAAAATTCCAACTTATCTTTCAATCCTACAATCAAAAACGATTTGCAACAAACCAACCACATACAAATTCACTGCTGGATAACCTCATGAACATTTGAATAATCATAATCCTATCCTGATATGGTGTAATAGTGAGAAATTGGCCAGTTCCAACGTCGCAAACTGCCTTTCTTGCATTATACAAATACGAATATTCCGCTAAAATAGATAAAATGCAGGGAAGTTAATAACTACAGGGTGAAATATACGTTCAGTAGACGCAGTCATGATCATCCCGGTTATGAATAGTTGCGACAACAAAAATTAACTTACAACATTTGTGCTGTGAAAAATTAGGAACTCACCTAATTTACTCTGCAAGAGTTTTACTTATCTTCCCTGTGAATTCTTTACATTTTCCCCTTAACTATCAAACAGCGGCCCAACAACGTATCCCTGATAAGAAATTATATGGCTTCGACAATCTCCCATAGTTTCCTTTATCATATTTATCTTAAGAATAAAGGTCATATGAATTTAGAGATTACGGTATAAGGAATATTTCTAGGCTGTTGAAATGCGTTTGAACGAATGTATCAGAATTCTAATCTGCACATATTATTTCAACGGCTGAGTAACGAACGCTTCCACTGAAGAACGGGGAATTCATGGTTTCTCCTCACGTGACCAGTGAGGTCCAATTAGATGTCACGTGTGTGGATGGATGTCTCACCAACGACAATGGTTGGGGTCGCGCTAAATCACGAATTGGTAGAAGTTAGAATTCATGGGTTGGCCATTGAATCGGGTCCCAGTGGCTGAATGGTATACGAGCTTGCCTTGTAACCGGAAGGTGATGAATTAAGCATTGCATGTGATACCTTAATTGAAAATAGCTATCCAGTCAAGTTCATCAAGAAACAAATGACTAATAAAGTTGAGAATGACTATTCACTATCCATAAACAAGAAGCCTTTATACATACGACTGAAATTCAAGGGTGACACACCTAGCGAAGTAATTACTTAACAAGTTAAGAAAATCATTTCAAAGAACTTTAAGTGCTGGTAAACTAAAGGTCTTGTTTTCGACACGACCGATGGTGATTCCTCAACTGAAAGATGAAGTACCTAGAATAGTCAGTTCTAACTGTATCTACTAATTCAACTGCTCTTGTGAAGCGAGTTATATTGGCCGTTGCTCTAGGAATTTGATTTCTTGTGCTCAGGAACATCTACCAGTGTGCTTAAATAAAGGTGTAGAGAGAAGCATCAATAGGTCGAAATTACAACACCTGGTCCAAGCAGGCCACGAAGCTAGTATCAAAAAGTCCTTCTCCATCACCTACCAGGTACCAAAAAGTGTTGCTAAAAACATCCAGATACTGCATACTCCAAAAACAGGGGCTATCGCGATTTGCCTAAAATAACAGTCCAAGGGTGACTTGGAGGAGGTCATGTGAAGAGGAGATGAAAATGTGTGGACAGACTTGGAACCAGATAAAGACTCTAGCAGAGAACCGAACGCAATGGAGACGCACGGCTGAAGCCCTATGTTCCTCTAGGAATTAAAGGAAACAAAAGTATTTATTTATTTTTATTTTTTTTATTTTTGGTTACAGCTTGATGCCACACCGTATTTTCAGTACAAGTATGGCATTTTCAGCATGGATATCGGTAGCCCAAATTTTGCAGGCCGACCATAGATATCGGGTGTGCGCCGGCAGGGGCTCGAACCTCGGACCATGTGTATGGTCGGCGAGAGTCCTAACCACTGTGCCACCGACGCATATAATAACGGGTGCTCCGTATGCCACTTCTACTGCCCTGGCCTTCCATCAGTGGAAACTATAAATTCATGAATTTGTATTATGTGTTTTTCTTAACTTTTCTGATATTCAGTTTGTTATGTTGGTGCTATCGAAATGTAATCCCTTGATATTAATATTGATTCGATGTTATTCAAATAACATTAATGTTTTTAATAACACTAATTCAAATATTAAGTCAGTCAGTTAGTGTTTCCTGGTGAGCGAGTCACGAAAAGCATTTCCAACAAGGCATTGCAGACTTTTATGAACATCTGCCTTCGCTCCATATGGAAGATGAAGTGATCAGAAAAAATTATCAGCAAGGAACTATGGGAACAAACCAACCAAGAACCTATAATTTAACAAATATTCCGAAGAAACTGGAGATGAAGTGGGCATACATTGAGCGAACCGTTGGGTGATATCGCGCACCAGGCTATAGCCCGAGTGAAACCTGAATTAGAAACAATGAGTCGGTCGTCCAAGGGTGACATGGAGGAGTTAGTGGAAGGAGGAGGAGATGAGAGACTATGGGCAATAATGGGGCCAACTAAAGATGACAGCAGAAAATAGGACAAAGTGGAGACGTGCTTTTGAAGCGCTATGTTCCACTCACGACCCATGGGAAGAATAATATATAATAACAACTTGTCTCTATAATTCAAATAAGGTTCAAAATTATTTTAATAAATATATTTGCTATTCGTCATCCCTCGAACTTACTTACATTTAACCCACAAGATTTCTTTGCCTATGCATTTTTGTAGTATTCATATTGCCTATCAAACGACCAAATATAACTGAGACCACCTTCAGTGGAACTTATATTTCGTTGGTCATAAATACGCAGCCAGGTTGTTTGATTGTTTATTCACATTTCATCCTAAGTTCTTAGTGATTGAATGATGTCAAAGTCAGTCGGGAACTGATCGGAATGGCAAGATAGACACTTTAATTCATCTGAAATCGGTATCGAAAATTTACTGCGCTAAGCATAAGGAAGAAGATTGAGATTTTCAACACAAATGTCAAGCAGATCAGTGATTTCATATGGCTTAGAGATTTGATACACGCGTCACCTAAAGCGTTTCTAACAGCCTTTAACAGACTCTTAGCAACATACACCTTTTCTGGCTCCATACTGAAGATCAGATCGCCGGGGAGGAAGGACTAGCAACAAGAAACTCTAGCAACAGACTGGCCAAGGACTAATCACCTAGCAGATATGCAGAAGAAAAGTGAGACGGTATGGACACACACCGAAGATATCGATGGGTGACGTAACATGCTAGGCCCTCGGATGAAGCCTGAACGGGGGGTTAGACAGTAAGATGGAGGCAATCGTGTAGGGTGGAGAAGATAACGGCTAATGGGTAGTCATACAGCAAGCGAAACGGGAATGTAGAGAACAAAATGGATAATAGTATGATTATTCCTTCTTGTACTTGTCCACCACAATACGGTATATGATATATCATAATAGAACTTGGATATTGTCGTGTTAGAGTATAATTACATCAAAGAATGATTTTATTCGATCAAATCACGCAGCGAGTGATACAGTATGGCCAATTTTCGAAAAAAGTGTACTGCTGGCCCATAGTCGTATCAGGGTACTTGCTTACATAAATTTCAAACTTTGTCTCTAATATAATCCCATTGTTGTTTCTTATCCTTTGACTTCATTGTTAGTAACATTTTACCTATTTCTTTGGTGTTGCGTTAGTTTTATTGCTTACACATTAGGTGTATGTGGATTTGATGAATAGAGATTTGTTTTAAGTTTTACATTACGGACTGACATCAGTTAGAGAACCGTTGAAAACCAGCAATGAATTACTGAACAGCTAGCTGCTTCGTCAGTATATTTTAGGACTATTTGGTGGTATGCACCCACCCGGGTTCAAACCCGTGATCTTCCAGTACCAGTAATTGATTGGTATGATAAGTAGCTGTACCGGTCACATATCAACAAAATCATCGAAATGATATAAACATGTCGATTGGGTGTTATGCTCGTTTTGAGGCCGAGCTGCTTGTCAGCGGTGTAACCGGTTTGTTTCAGCTCAGAAGGATAAGCGAATCAGTTGAAACCACCTGATTTCTGGCTGGCTAGCTAGCTACTTAGGTGGACTTGTAGCAAGTTAAATCAAATCAGATCAGTCATAAATTTGAAAATAAGGAATTTGAACAAAAAAGATTCTTCTGTGAAATGAGACCACATAATTTTTATTTATCTTATTCGTTTTGCTAATAATTTTTTCCAGAAATTTTATAGTTAGTTAGTTATTTATCAGATCATCATTAGTATTCTTCAGATCGACAATCCTCAGCAGTAATTGTCCGTGCCATGAGACATCTGTTCTTGAACCATACATTCCCACAAATATCAGACAGCTTTGCGCCGCATTCGACAGCTTCAAATCCTGAGTTGATGAAGTGTTCCTGTCGACAATGAAAAAAATAGAAAAAAAATAGAAATTGGAGTGCAAGTTTTCACTGAATAGTTGCATAAAACCATATATACCACGACTGATTTAAATGAGCGGTTATATACCAGTAGTGTGGAAGGGTTACTTAGCCTGTTACATGCTCTGACGTTGTTTTCGTGACTTTTGTTGCCAAATCTGTGAAGGGCGATAGGATAGTACGCGACTTAAAGCGTGTGTAAGGTCTGAAGAAAGCTGTATGCTATGTGCATGCACCTCACCATGATAATGTTTAGCGTCGGTGGTTCAGCCGTAGAACGCTGACAAACAATGTGTGTGGTCCGGATTCCGATCCCCGGCCGACAAACTTCTAGACCTCGCCAAGCTGGTGGTAAGGCCTGCAAAGAGGGAAGTTTGGGAGTGAGGCTAGCGACCCCACCCGGTAAGAATAAAACCACTGCTACTGAAACTTAAAAGGTGAGGTCTGAAGCTCTATGCTCCATTTGGAAAGGAAAGGAATAAGATAACAAAAATAGTGCTTGCTAGCTAGACTGAGGTGATCCAAAAGCTATGAGATAACTGTTTCAATCGTCTTTAGTGCAGTTGGTCAGTCAGAGATGTAACCAGTATTTGACTCAGTGAACGGGTGATACCATAAACCAAATCCTAATTGTACACCCAATGTATCTAGCTCCGCACAAGCAGTTAAACTTGCAAATACACATAGAACAGGTGAAACAGGGCAGTTCATTTTTATAAACTGAACTGATAATTGGTTGATAAGCTAGTGAATAAACAGCATAATTTATCTGCATTAAAGATCCCTTAGATGAAGGCCCTCCTCAAACGTTGTGATAAAATATGTCATCACTATTAACATCTCCCGTGAATCGCAATCTTAGGGACTATGGGTAGCTCCGGCTGTTTACTTGCCCAGTACATGTGTTTATTCAAAAATTAGAGACGATAATGAGGAACTATTAATTGGAAAAGAATGAATATTTCCTCTCTCGTTCGATTTGTTAATTTTCCAAATGCTTAATTGGGAATATTGAAGACACATTTATTTCGAATTCACGGAGAATTCAAACAAGTTCACTTTATACAATTCAAATTTGGACGTTTCCGTTGGTTAACTGAACAGAAATGTTCAGCCTCTATTGATATATCGGCTCCTTGTTCAGAAAGCTTAAATTTAAACCAAACAGTAACTGATACCCATTGTAGCTCTTGTGGTCCAATTGGTTTAGTGGATAACGCTTTAGCGTTTGAAAAGATGGCTTCTGGGTTGCAACCTCAGAGGGAACAACATCACTCACTGGGGAAAGTAGGCATACCCAGATAACAAGTCCCACATTAGACGCAATACTTATCCTGGATTCCACACACCACCAGTGACCAACCACCAAGTTACTTAAAGTTCACTTTATGATACAGCTTGCACTGAAACGATGTTTTATCTGGAATGTGGACAACCAAAGCTTCTCAATTAAAATATCCCCCTGATTTAGAGAACATAAGGAAATCAAAATCATCTGACTGAGATACAGATTTTTTCTATTACTTTTAAATATAATTTTGTTATGTTCTGTTTTGACCAATATTCATAATCGCTGTTTCAAATTCCCAAATTAAAAAATTGCATACAGATCGAAGATGTCAGATTTCCCCTGCAGTTTCCCGAAGGAAATCTAAATTCTTCAGATCATACACACATAAAATATGTAATCTGCTAGGTCCGGTAAGAGGTAATTAACAGACTAAGCAAAAGTGCTTAACGATGCTGATCGACTGATATAAGTGGCAGTTGGATACTAATACTCACACGTCAATCAGCGGCGTTCACTTGATTGCTAGCCATTCAGAACGAAGTCATCTAAATACTGACTGGATCACTGTTTAGGTCGCTTGAACACAGGTTAGTAACTAGGTTCATACCTGTCTAGTCCTTCGTTTGGCGGAGGCTTATTTCTGTCAGCTTGTCATTTTGCAGTGTGGCCACCATTCTAGGTGGCACGCCATCATGGTGCACTCTGAATTGTTGTTATTAGATGGTTAGAGGCAATCGGCAGTAAACCCTGCTTGAATCTAGTCTTCGTGCTTGCTTGCATTCAGTGGTTGTGAAGTAACTCAAGTTACTTCCGGGATTCTTCTCTAACCTCAAAACTGGATGACCCGGAGGTGACATAACTTCCTTGAACGTTGCAGATACGCCTTGCTGACTGATGAAAACCAACAGATACGAAAACTAAGTTCAGGCAAAGCTTCCTACCGACTGCATCTAACCATCAAATGACAACATTTTCAGGAGCATAATTTTACATGAACATCAGATAAAGAGCGTGAGAATTTGGCGAACAGCAAGAAAACCACGACAATTCATAAGGTAAATATTTATTTTAACACTTCAATAGAAAATTTTTCAAGTAGGAGAAAAGAAGAGGTAATAAAACGCAGTTTTTTAAGAGGACATAAAGATGGCATACATGAAGTACTCTTGAAGCTGTTTACTTTAATTACGATTAAAGAAGAAAATAACTCAATGAAAAGCAAATAAAAGATTCTCTGTGGTTTAACTGCTTTGTCTTACTGTATAACAGCTTAAGTAGGTAAATATGTAGAATTATTACTACCTTTATTATTCCCTTGGGTTCCAAGTGGAAGGTAAGGTTTCAAAAGGGGAGGTAAACGTCTCCATTTTTTCCTCTTCAGCTGTCTAACTCCACGACTGCCACCCATAAGCTTCAATTTCCTCGATTTCAACCTCAAAGTCACTCCCAAATCGTCATTTCCCGCTCTAATTCCACTCCAGTGGTGGCCTGGCTGGCGTGCGATGTTACCTGATAGTCTTCTCACTGCGTTTATCTCATTCAACTACGTTTTCTTCCAGATATTTGTTGAGCAAAAGTTTCTTGATAGGTTCTTTCTCAGAGTATCTTGTTGCTAACCTCTTCTGGTCATTTGATCTTGAGTATGAAGGCAGTGAATGCAGCAATTGATGAAAGTCGGAAGTAGCCTGTTGGAAATGCTTTTCATGACTTACCAATTTTAGGCTCCGCATAAAACAACTAACTGAATTGAAATTGGTGTTGAAAATCTGTGTGTTTATCAGTTATGCTTTGGAGTGCAGCAAGGACATATCCATACTGATTTCAGAGTGATAAAGGTCTGTTTTGCCTATCTGATTCTGGTTTTAATATCTTAATTCGTAGAGTAGGCTGTATTTGAGATGATGTTGCCTAGCCAGATGGGTGAAAGAGGTGACTTTCTGTCAAAGTTCCCCGTCCATAATGGTTGGTGCTGTTGATCGCTAGGTTTCTTCATCACCCGTGTCTTTTGTATGTTCGCCTGAAGCCCTGTCTTCTCTTCGTGCCTCTTCTGCCAGTATGTTAGTTTTTGCTTGCAAGTTTTCGAATTTACATGACCTGCGTAAATCGTCTTCGAAGTTCAGATCTTATGGAGTCCTTTTGTCGGTCCAAAGTATCATTGTCTCCTCGCTCTGCGCACATGGCTTTCCGCTAGTACACTACAATCAGGAATATCACCCTGGGCGATAGTAGTCAGCCTTGTCTTACTCCAGTCTTCACTTAAAAGGTAGGCTTCAATAGCTGAGATTTCCGTCGTCGGTTACCTGATACGGGAAATTGCCATATGGTTGTCGTTGAGAGTGACTGATGAATATTTGAAGCCATGCACTCTAAAATGTAGAAGTAGTCAACAAACTACTTCGCGGGTGACACTTCCGAAGGCCATTTCAAAGTCGATGAAGTTGAGCTGGAAATTTGACTGCTATTCTATGTGCTGTCTGTTCGAAGATTAGGCATAGCGCTGCAATTTGATCTACACATGGTCGCTTTTCTCGAACCTAGCTTGTTCTGGTAGTAAGCAAACTGTGTATGGTAACGATAACCCTAAGGGTTATTGCTAGTAGCCTCAATACAATTTCCCGTAAATCTACCAAGTACCATAGAATTTATGCCTTTATGCATTTGATTTCACCCCGTTTACGGAACAAAGTTGGCAGGTGAATGTTCTTGAATCTGTAGAGGAACCTGTCACATCGTACACGCTAGTTATAAATTGAATCACAGAAACTATTGTAACAGCATATTCATGAGGAAAAGATGAAAAAAGATATTTAGTTTTCAGCGAAGAGTCTCTTTTCACAGTGAATTCACTCTCGTCTCTTTAGCTACACAATCAATAGCACTTATGGGTGCAGTTTGGTTCTCTCCTCGTAAAAGTGGATAGAAACAGAGAGATGATTCATCATGAGAATTTTTGATAAGGTTGTTTATCAAGATATATGAGAAGTCGAATAAGGAAGGGTAGCAAAATTATCTAATGGGACAGATAATATAATATGAATGAGCTATCATAAACATCCACAAAGAGAGAAGAAATTCTATTACCTAGCAGTTCGAGAAGAGAGGTGAGTCAGAAATTATTGGAGGAATAAAATAAATAAAACAGTTGGGTTGAAAACAGTAATAAGGTCCCTACCATAACAACAGAACTGGATGAAAGGTTTTCTTTAGTAAACACAACTCCAGTTTGTCCATCTGGATGGCTAGCACTTCAGCGGTGCAAAGGGGGAGAAAGAAGATCACCATATGCACGTTCTCATTCTCCACTTTGTAAACCACCTCGAAGGAGGAATTTGTTGAGATCAAGTGGCCAGTGTCAACATATGGTGTTGAATTATTACACTTCTTATAGAACCACCAGTGCTCCCGACACACCTGACTTGGATGTTTGTATGTGTCTGTTTAGAAGGCAACAGTCATCAGTGTTTCCTTGTCCTGGTAGCTGGATGTGCCTGCTGTCTCTCTCTCTCTTTCATTTGGTTATGTCATCTTTGGCTTTACACTCTTCACTCTCTAGTTTCTGTGACTTGACTTGATTTGCGCTCACCACGTTGTTATTCATTTTGTTAGTTACTCACCATCTTACTCACCTCTCGTCTTTATTGCATGACTCCTTTACAATTCTATGCAAACATTTATTTGTTTTGTCTAAACTTGAACTCTCTAGGTATAAACTACATAAGTGTGATTGTCTGAGCAGTGTTTATTAAGTTTGGAGTCCTCCCTATCATTACATGACGTCATGTAACACTTAAAAGTGTGTTAAAATTATTCCATATAGAAACTTAACTCATTTCTTTAGGCCATTAGCAGAAATGATGAGAAGTCAAAGCGAAATTGTGGTGAGAGCTGTCTACTAGCCAGTTGGTCGCTGTGGTCTAGTGGTTAGGATTCCTGGCTTTCACCCGTACTTCGTAACGACAACCCTTTTCTTCATGTTAATCACTGCATCCACTTCTCGCAAAAAGTCGGCCCCAAGGATTGTTCGGCACAATTCAGGTACAACCAGGAATGGGAACGTCACGTCTGGGCGGGCTGCTGTGTAGAATCATTCCTGCTATGTTTGCACTCTCAATAGATTCGATAAACAAAGCTTCATTTATCAGTCCCACCCTCTCTAACGTCTTATATATTTGATTTTAAGACCATTATATTATCCTATCCTATTGAATGGTTGTATACAACTGCATGTAGTGCTACAGATGAGCCTTTCTTCTGTATTTCCTATCTTACTAGTGTAGGGTTAAGTAATCCGGATTTAGAAGGGCTTTTATGTTCCATTCATCTAATTGGCCCTAGTGTACTACTTTGATCTATGTAGTTAACCTCACTCAGAATCACTTTAGGGAATAACACGGACTAAATAACTATTTTGACTTATTCCGTTTCACTGGATTGATTCTTTAACGGATGTAATTCGTTCCTCTGAGTGAGTTTGTGGCGCGTGGTTGAATGTCAGTAAAACAGGAGTGTGTCCTGGCTGACGTCCTCTGCAACCCAGAAAAATAATACAATTAATATTCAATTGTTAATGATAGCGGCTGGCAGTATGCAGCGAGAAAGCAGGAATACGTTGAGTAAACAGAAAGACCCTAGAAGACATGGACTTCTTATGGATGACTTATGTCTCATGCTCACACGCAAACTCAAGCATCAGTAGAGGAAAACTAGCAATTTGGAAGAGGAGGGAAATAGTGAATACAGAACTTTTTGGGTGTACATAAAGAACAAAATACGTGGTTCAGCTAAGAGACTCTTTTTGCGGTGAAATCACTTTCCTCCTTGTAGCCGTAAAATCGCATCCACAAAAAATTATTTTCATTGGAGAGATTAGTAACAAAAGTGATGAGTTGTCATAATCATAGTTGTCAAAAAAATTATTCAGTGCATAAGAGCAGTTGAATCAGAAAGGTATTAGAGTTACGCAATAATATGTATAATTTAAACAGATGAGTTGTAATCATGACACTGACATAGGAACGAAGGGAAATATGAAATTATGCAAGATATCCACTGAAAGAAAAGGCGCTCAACGAAGAGTTTCTCTTTCCAGAGATATTGGCAATATAATAAGATGAATAATTTCATTTGAATGAATTTTAATCAGGATGCACATAGAAACGAAAGAGAACATTGAATTCTGTAAGAGTTCTAGTGGAATGCAAGAGTTATGAGGATGAGAAAAACAAGCGAAAATCAAGTCAACAGAAATCAACAACGAGGTTGTTACCATGATAGTAGAAATAGTTAAATAATTTTCTTTCGTGTGCATGTCCAGTTCTGGTTTCTCTATATGAACGGTCAGAGCATCAGAAATGCAAAGCAGACGAAAGCGTATCAACTGTCTTTGTCAGGTTATTATTTACTTTGTAGATCACTTTGAAGGAGGCGTTTGTAGTATGACCAGTGTTGACAAGGTGCTCTAATATCGCACTCCTTATAGAGCTGAGCTGCTAATACTAACTTTCTACGGATATGCATGGGGATAGTGTTCTTAGATCCTTCTTTTAGATTGGATCTAAATCCAGTCACAGCTATACCTGGCCGCAGAAGAATGGGTGAACTGATATTTATGTGGTCAGGTGCGAGATCTTGTCTTCTGGGCTTCTGCAGACCAATAATCCAATGAAGAACACTAACCTTAGCGTTCCTTCGGCGAATGTTCTTCTGAAAGATAATGAAATCATTCTCTTAAGAATATACTGCAGGTTAAGGTTCCCTTGAAATACAGTTTCAAGTAAAGTCTTTTTTCAGAACAAGCAATGTGTCGTTTGTCTGAACCTTTGGTTTGATATTCTTGTCAAAGAATCTCAAACGGGTATGCTTCTTGGATAAAGGTTTATTTCAGAAGATCTGGTTCTCCTTCTGGGGCGTCAGGACTACATACATATAAATGCTACTGTAAAGCTAAAGAAAGTGGATTCACTAGAAAGAGCTTCTTCACTGAAATCCTTTTTGTTTTCATTAATGTATAGGTGGGGATTATTCATGAACATAGAGGAGACAGAGGTAATGAAGATATTCTACGTCCTAGATGACCCTTCGGCTTTTAAATTTTCTATGAAACTACAGAAAAAAGAATCGTGGTACTTCATTACAGAAGAATGATTAGGTGGGCGGGAAGAAAAAATAAGCGATAAGGAACTCTGAAAATGACACAAACCCCTTCAATGACGTGTTGTGCAATACAAATGTAGAAGGAAATGGAAACTGACAGAGTGGAAAACCAAACAAACCAAAGGCCCCAAGGAAAACACAAAGATTATCATCTTACAATATTAAAGTAACATCTCACTAATCACTGCAAGAATCTTCAAACCTTTAGGAATTGACGTTGCACATAAAACAACAAAATCACTTCACTCAGCTCTATGTCAACCAAAAGACTTAACAGTGAAAGAAGATAAAACCAGCATCGTCTACAGAATAAATTGCAAAGATTGTGAAAAAATTGCATTGGCCAAGTGGCGTCCCATTCGTCTTCGTATCCATGAACATAAACTAGCCGTCAAAAGACATGATGTGCATACCGTAATATCGCTGCATATAGAAAACCACGGACAACAATCCGACTGAGACAACGCTCATATATTTGACAGAGGAAACATCAAGAATGCCAGAGAGTTTTTGGAAGCTTGGGATTCTAGTGAACTGGCAATTAAAAAGACACATTGATACAGACAAGATTTACCAATCCATAAGAAATTAATCTCATGCACAAAAAGTTAAACTTCATGTCAAGGAAACAATCACTACGCCGATACAAGTAGACCAGAGTGTGTGAAGACAGACAAAAGCAAACAAAGAGTCACTTTCAAGGTTACTAGGAAAGATGACTAATAAACGCGTGGAGAAATTTCACAGCTGACTTCAGATTGAAGTATGAGCTGAAGACGATGTCCAGAGGAAGGCAATGAAAGTAAACTATCCAGAACAGAGAACAAAAGTACAGCACATTCATTCACCTGAGTGAGGAGGGGGCCGTTAAGTGACAGGGAGTTGAGGAGAAACCCGAATACTATACGATGAGTTAGGCACCCTGAGGTGAATTAGAAATGAATGCTTTTGGGAGGCAATATTTCAGTTAGATAGGTAAATAAAGAAAATTTCAGAGAACACAATGAAGTAATGATGGGCGATTGTAATCAATGAAATACCAACTTACCAGTGACAGTCTGTTGGCGAATACAGCAACTTTATGTACCCCAGCTGCTTGGTATTCAGTACATAAGTAGACTTGTGTACTTTCTTCAACAAACTGTCTCAACATAATTTTCTTATGATATTCAGGCAGCGATCGATCAGGACCCACATGTAGCCGTATATATCGCAATCGTTCATTGCTTCCTGATTCCAAGAAGAGGCTAGCACAAACATCACGTTGATGAGTGGATTCTTTTAGAATCTGTTAGGCAGTGAAAGAAAACACACAACAGAAAAGAGAAAATATTATTCAGTCAATATGAGTAAAGGGCGTTGGTGGCTCAGCGGTAGAATGCTCGTCAGTCTTGCTGGTGGTTAGGGATTCGATCCCCGGCTGACGCATTACTTTACTTGGCTAAGCCAGTGATAGGACTGGTAAAGAAGGAAGGTTGAGCATGAGGCTAGCAATGACATCCCGTAAAAATGAATACCATTGCTACTGAAACTTGAAGCCCTATGTTCCACTGGGAATGTTGAGGAATAAAAAACAAAAGAAATATGAATAAAACATTTAGAAGACAAATTTTGCGGTTGTACAGAAACTATGAAATGTTATCATCTCGCGAACTGTGCCTTCTAAATGCCTTATTCAAATTTATCAAAGGGTCTAATTGTTTTAAAAAAGACGCGTAAAACTGTATACTTCTGACTGACCGAAATGAGTAGTAATCGCATAGCGCTGACGTGTTAGCTAGTAGTGCTTACTAGCTAACCATCCAAATCGAAATGACCTAAACACCGGATAATTATTTCGCTTGGTTAGAGTTCATTGTCAGTGTACTAAATCAGTTTAAATTCGTAGTTTCACATTTCGGACCCTTTGAGAACTTTCTTCGCATCAACGTGAAAATAACATTCTTCTCCACTCAGTCACCCACTGGTCTAAAACAGAAGTTCAAAAGACAAGATCTCGTATCTGACTACTTCTATATGCACACATATATTAGTTCACTTGTTCTTGTAGATCTTGTCTATATATATATATATTGTGAGTAGACACAAAAAGTCTGACTCCATGACAAAATCCTCAACATAACTATTCAGAAGTATTATCCCTAGCCGATGCGCACTCCTAAACCTCACCTCGCTGATTAACCCGCTGTAGTGAGGTCAATAAGAACGGAAGGTTGATGTCAAAACTAGCAGCCTCACCCGGTGAAACTTTGAGAGGCTTGAAGTTCAGTGTTCCACTGAAAGGAATTTCTAATGGAGAAGAAAACACAACCATATCAAAATCATTCAACTGGCTTACTTTATTCATCTGATTATTATGATTATTCCCCCCATTGCCACGTTGTTTCGGATCAAGAATCAGCATAACACCATATAACTGATTATTATGTGATTGTCGCCAGACATACGATCTCCACCCATGTTGAGTTGTATTCAGGGCGTTTTGATAATAATTTAACGACAACTGGTTGATAGCCATTTTACAAACCTCATCTTTCGCTTGTAGATCACCGCAGACTATTTGATGATCATAACGGCTGACGTAATTATTCAATTCATCAAGCACTTCAATCAGATCATCTGCTGTAAGCACTTTTGTATAAAGGAATGTCGGTGAAAGATCTAGGCGAGAATGCGGGGTGAGGTGTGGGGGAGAAAAAAATGGAAACATTCAATTTCCTGAATCTTATGAATTTAAAACAAGCAACAATTGTTTTGTTGTTAACAAAGCAGAAAATTTAATGAATTCATCATCCTGAACGATCTGATTGAAATATTTATGCTTATTCGGGTGTTTTAACTAACTTTCTAATCATCATTATACTTTTTTCTCCTAGAATGTATATCACTGCTTTTACATTTGCATATCATATGCTGGCTTAAACCTTTTATTGTTGTTTGTCTTTGTTCTCGTTTAATCTCTAATTTTAAACGCTTCTGTTTCTGGTTGATTTTGTGATGATATTGATCATGTGTTTTCTTACCAATGTGATATTGTTTCAGCGGATGATGATAATTTTGAGTTTGGACTGTCTGCAGGGAGCACTGATACGTGATTGTTGTCGAGAGAGCTTTTGATCCCAGCTTGTTGGGAATATTCTTCTACAGGGTTCTAAGGTACTTCTTACAGTTGAATTTTGGCTAACTAATTCACTGTCCTAGTGTACTTGTTTTGTGCTAGAAACCTATCTGATCTGCTTGGTTACCTAACATGCGTCATTGACACAGCGGTTAAGACGCTCGCCGACCATTCACACGGCCCATGGTTCAATCGCCGGTCGACGAATACCTGATATCAATGGTCGGCCTGCCAAATTTGGGTTACAGATACCAAATGCTGAAAATTCCATACCTTTACCAAAATACTGTGTGGAATCAAGCTATAATAAAATTTAAAAAATAATTAGATAAATAGCACTGGATATTTTATTTCAAATAACTGTCTTTTTACTGTCTTTGGGGGATTTTGTGAATGCGCTTAAGTTAAGGAAGTTTTGGACAGATATACACTAGAAAGCATAGATTGGTTTCCCGCGTTCAGGTCAGAATAAGTCAGTTTTCGTGGCTGCACACATTTCAGTATACGTCCTCTTCAATTGCTGCAAACTCTGTACATACATAGATTCAAAGTGACCACCATTTCTTTTTGTGCATACAAAGAAACCGGGTTTATAAACTCTAATTGAACAGGCCTCCTCAGCAAATGTAAACACTTTCCTCAGTGTTGATAACAGTGACAGTGAATTGACAATACGTTAATAGTCCAGCTGGCAATTTTTTCGCGACCACTACAGAAATTTCGGATTGTATAACTCTGGGTGCACTGTGGAAAGTGGGATAGTTTGCCGCGAAGTTGGGCAGCATTCTGCAATGCCCTTGAAGCTAGTTTCATAGTTTCTATAAAGGACCGAAAGTATCTGCCGACGGTTGTGTAAGGGAAGGTAGATCCATATTGATACATGTGAATCGCTTATTCTGCTCACAACTTGTGACAGCTTTTATATCAGGTATGTAGTCAATAAGATGCTTCGTTGTTTAGCTTTTACTACCCAGGCAAATATACCATAATTTGGAGTTGAAAGTTGCCTTTCTGTAAAACCAGTGTATGTATTTGCTTCCACATTAATTGTTTATCACTATTCACTTGCGTTCTGAGCGGATCATTAAGCTTCAGTATCACATCTCTCCTTCAACCTATTCTCTGCTATCCTCGTTAACTGACCCCACGATCACCCATAGGCTGTTATTGCCTCCTCTTGACACGCTCCCCTACACGCCCCGTTCGAAGTGACGCCCAACTCATTATTTCCCTTTCAAGTTCCACTCAGTAGATGGAATGGCTGTCGTGCGATGTCACTCAACGGTTTTCCCTGATATTGTCTAATCCATCTGCATTTCCTTTGGAATATTTGTTCAGCAACGGATTCTTGATTGGTTCTTTCTTAGTGTTTCTTGTTGCCGATTCTTCCTGGTCATCCGATCTTCAATAGGCAGTGGGGTAAAGTAGGTGTTGATGAAAGTCTGCAGTAATCTATTTGAAATGCTTCTCGTTATGTATCAAGTTTCTGGTCCATAAAGAAGAAGATGATGATTTAACATTGGTATTTAAAATCCGAAAGTTGTTCCTTATGTCGCGCACTGTAGTGAGTAGATCTCGAAACTGACTTCATGGCAATGAAGGTCTTTTGTCTTGTCTTTTCGGCCTGCTTTGATTTTGACACCTACTTCTGTGTCATTTGACTGTAGTTAGAACTATGCTTCCTAGCCACATAAGTGAAGGAAGTGACCTCCCTCAAATTTCTTCAATTTATAGTGACTGATAATTGTTGTGTTTGGTAGGCCGGGTATCTTCATCTTCTCTATATTCACTTGAATAGGAATTAAAACTTGTCACGAATTTATAAAAGTTAGACCTGAATGGTCTGCTATCGAATTCCATCCGAGTGCCACTGAGTAGTATACTAGCTCATCTTATAAGCTGATGGTCATGTGTATCCAATCACTGATGATTGGGTCATGTAAGCGTAATACAGAAGAGTAGTCTCAAACTAGACGGTCGAAGCGGCTGTTCAGTACTAGCTGGTAGCTTTTACTGGTTGCCTAAATGCTGCGTTAGTCAAATTGTGATCCAACTTGATCATATTATTCCCTATACTTGGGACAGGACTCAATATTTATATTTATTTAATAATTCTAACAGCAGATCGCAAGCCACATAGGAGCTTGGGTTTAGATTCCTAGTCAATGAACGACTCCTTAAAATGTCGCTTAAATTACTTACTAACCGGCGAATAAAAGACAACTGACAGAAGAAAAGCGTTTTCTTCATTAAACAAAATCATCTAGAAAGGCTATAAGCACAATCACATTTATATTTACCAAGTATGTATATCAGTCTATTATTTGAACAACAGGGGTACAGGTTTCCCATAACTGACATGAATCCTCAGAAGTAGATGCAATTCACAATTTACAATTAACGCAGTTCGAGGGGTTGGCAGAAGTCACATAGAAACACTCATCTAAATCAATCAGTAGAATACATAAGTTTATGCAATAAAAGAGAAAGTTATCGGTTTTGTCACTTACCATTTTCTTCTTCATTCATTATATTATAATCCCCTTGCAGGTTAGCATGTCCAAAGAGCTTCTTAGTTGTAGTACAGTGGATGACGTCGGTGTAATGATTAATCAGTAATAGAAACAGGATCCAGATCAAAGTAAATGGACAGGTTTTTATACGACTCATTTCTTTGTTGCTTTTACTGATTAAATCAATATGATCTGTGGAGGAAAACAGGAAAGAAAACGAAAATCAATAAATCAATAAGGTAGAGCTGTGTATCATTCTTATAAGCCATATCTGTAGAAAAAGCCAGCATTGATGGCATACAGTTATTATTATTACCTTGAGTTTCGAGTGGAGCATGGGGTGAACAAAACGTTTCCATTTTATGCTACTTTCTGCAGTATTCTATAGGTGGCGTATTCCACAGCTGTCCATAGGTTCTCATCTGCTCCTTCTTCTTACAGAAGATCCACATATTACTCTCAGACACAACCCTAACATTTCTCTCCCTAATCCGATACCATTCGATCAATGGTCTATCTGGGGATGGCGGATGTCACTCGAAGTTCTTCTTGCTGCGTATGTCCAATCCATCCAAATTTTCTAGAGCAATGGGTTCATGGTTGCCCCGTTTCTAAAGTTTATTATTGCTAATCGTGTGTGGTCAGTCATCTGATATTCAGTATGCGAAGGCAACTACTGATGAAAGTCTGAAGCCCGGTCGAATTACTTTTGGTTACATTAGTATTAAAAAACCGGATTTTGTTCTTTACGCTGCACTGTGAAGTAGATTTCCACACTAACATCAGGGTAATGAATGTCTGTCTTGTCTTTCCCATTCTACTTTTGACTGTCGTCTGTTGTTGAGACGAAGCTGTCTAGATTATGTGAAAGAAGTGACTTCCATCAAATTTTGGTGCTTATTGATGCTGTTGGTCAATGAGGTCTCTTCATTACCTTCGTCTTCTCTGTATTCACTTGAAAAGTCTATCCTTCTCTAACTGTGCCTTCTACCAACTCATCGGGCCTCGTCTGTCATCTTTGAGTTTGTGTTTGTGTTTGACACTAGGCATAAATCATCTTCGGGAACGTCAAGTCTTCCAAAGTCATTTTATTGTCTTTTCGATCCCAATTCACGGTCTGCTGGATGATCCAGTCCACTACAACTAAGAATATCACACACAATATTGACTGGATGACTGCGTTTTGACACAGAGCCTTGCACAGAAGAGAAGCAGGAGCTCAAGGTACCACGTAGACAAAAGAGTTTTAGAGAGCCATGCGATGCGTCTGGAAGATCACAATAAAGGATGAATGCGTGAACGCTACTAAGTATAATTTTAAGCCATATCACACCAAATTCTTCAGGCATTTGTTTTTCGCGTCTCAATGATCCCAACTACCCAGCCAGAGGGTTTACACCTCTCTATTCAATAATTCAAATCAACTGTCAAAGATTTCATGGATTCAACAGAAATGTTTTTACAACTTGATCCCATATCACCTAAAGTTGCTCTTTGAGGAAGGCTGTGGCTAGGCATAAGCAATGCGTCTCCTGGTGGTTTCAATCTATGTAGCTTTACAACCTGATCAAATTGTCTTGCCCATAAGACACCGGTGACAGGACGTAAGTAACTCAGAATACAGTGAAAGATACAGGATTAACAGTAACTATTGTATGAGAGTATATCGTGAGATAAATTATTCTTTTCAGCGATATCATTTTAAAGCCATGCAATCGCATAAATGAGCACTACAATTACGGAGCAACAGAGATTTGATTAGTTACAGGTTCGATCACGAATTGACTGACTTTAGTTAGAGGACTATTGGAAAGCCAGTAGTGGACAGCTGTTTCGTCCTAGTTTGTGACTCACCAGCAAGACGCGTTCACCAGGGTTCGGACCCAGGAAGCTACTTGAAATTTTAGTGAGAAGTTCAGATGACCAGTCAGGTTCCACCAAGTCAGGTAAGAGAACAGTTACCCTCTGATGACATTGACTAACTGTTTCACTATGTGCATCGCGGATCGCCAGAAGTTGAAATTCATGAGTTGGCCACTGGATGGAGTCCTAGTGTCTGAATTTGTCTACGAGTTCAGCTTGTGACTGGAAGAACATGGGTTAAAACACTGAAGGGTGCCTACCACTAAATAGCTCGAAAGCAGGATAAATCACCTATCTACCGCTCCGTGGTTTTCCAGCGGTTCTGTAACTAATGTCAGCTCATGATCACATTAAGAGGTGTTGTAACATTATTCAGTGTTAAGGTTGAGTAAAGTAGGAGAGCTCAACTAAAGTCGGAAAAGGAATCAATCAAACTAGGATATTAATGTCACATGAGAGGGCAGACGGTGAACAACTAAACAATTCTAGGTACCAAGCAAACCAAAAGTCTTCAGAGACATCTACAGAGTACGCGAAAATCGTACCGAGACGAGCACGAAAGTAAACTTGAGCCAAATCAGAGGGTATATAACAACAATAATGTAGATTATATGGATTTAGAGAGATCTTGGAAAATGAACACATCTAGGCTTTTGAAAATGATTTTGATCTGTATATCTAAAAGAGTTCCAAAAACTGATTCTTAACGTCTCATATGACTATAGTTTTTAAATTTTTGTCTAAGTATCAAAGCTGGTTAAGGTGAGATTAGAATTTGGGCACCGTCTGCTTAAATATAATTCCATATGAGATTAGTTTATCTCATCAAATACATAGAAAGCTTTTGACTCCAAATATGATCTACAAGGCAGTGGAACATATATAGGATCTATTCCAATTCCATGTTTGCAGGTGACCAGGAACACCATACGTTTGGAGAAATCAAGTTTTACTCTCTTCTTAGGTAGTCCAAGATGTCCATAAGTCCGGTTGTAATCTACAGACGTTCGCTGTCATCCTTCTTTTTTGTGAGTAACACCTCTGCACGCCGTGTGATTAGAACTTACTTGAGCGTAGAGGCTGCGAAAGCTTTGCCGCATGAGAGCATTTCCGGAGGAAAACTCTAGTTTATCTACCCTAGGTTGTTCCAGGTCGTATTTGGTCGTATTTCGTCCTCTTCATCGGTATGCACTCATGACACCACTCCCGGACATCGAACTTAGGACGTTGAGGTTACATGAAGAAATAGTTGACCACTTTATTTAGACACTGTAAAGGAGGTTATCCGGTGGCAAGCTTATGACAAACGACAGAACTGATAGGCTGGTCACTGTATTTTGTAGTAGCATACAAGTTCGTGTTAAAAACTGAAGATCTTCGTCCCAATATATGACAGAATTCTCAAACATCTGTCCAGTATTCCCTGGTTCCCAATGGTTCTCTAAATGACGTCAATTCGTATTCATACTTGAAACCCTTAGAGCTATAAAAATTTTAAGTTTCATTAGTTTATCATATGACTACCCAAATATAACGTCAGCAGAAACGATAATATATTCGTTAGTATATGATATCGGTTAAAATAGGATTTAAATAAGGAAATATACTACTTTATTCGTCAATACGGGAAAAAATAATTTTTATTCAGTGAGACGACACATCTCTTTGAAACGACTTGAATTCTCCAAGCAGTTGTACAGTCTTGTAATTATATTATGCGTAACTAAAGTCATGAAATGACATCAAGCACTTTAACGTCCTTCTTGTTTTAGTCCATGTTGAAGTCATTGGGACATACTCTTAAAGAGTCCCCAGTTAGGATGGAAAAGTTGTCCAGTACTCAATGCTCCTGATTTTCCACGGTTCTCTAAGTGAAGTCTGTCAGCTTGTGATCAAATTTCAAATCATGTCTATTTTAACCTATAACAGCTAACAGCGGGTGCAAACTTTACTACTGGCAACTGATTTCAGTAGCCAGCTGCAAAAGAATCAAAAACATTTTGGTGCTTGTTGCATTAACACTCATCGTCTACCATAGAATCACCAGAAGTCTACTTTTCCCATCGTCTTAGTCTTTTTAATTTTAACTTTTTATAGGGTCTGATCACTAAGAAGAAACTCAAAGAGGCGTTCTATGGAATCTGTTTTACATTTAAACTAAATATTCATACATCGAAACTAGATTTAGGTTTTCCTTTGCATCCTCGAAGCTTCTGAGAACGTTGGTGTGGCATCCTGCTGTGTATCTATGGTCATAATTCATAAATGAAATGGACCCATTGAATTCTGCAGGTCAGAATCACGGAACACACTCATAACAGATTGTAAGAACGAATGAAATCTCCTGTTACAAATCAATAGTGGAGAGAGGTGTCAGCTAACGTCATCTATCTCAGAGTACATCAACGAGCTGTCATAAAATTTATTTCAACAGTACCTTTAAACTAACAAAATATATGCATGTCACTAGTTTGGATCCTATACTAAAATTCACCGAATCCTTAGCCATGAAACGACTTGAGCCTGTTTTAGTTTTTCAAGAAAGGATTTCTTATTACTCTGAAAGTGCCTTTGTAATCAAATTTTGGGGTGAATGTTCATTTGACGTAACAGTGTTTTCACCGACCCTACCCCCCTTGCATGTATACCCACTATTTCGAACATTTCTGTATAGCTGATTCCACTGGATATTGTAAACGTTGTACTTTCAGAAACACGTAGCTGTATACCAAAGTCATTTTGATTGATGAATTAAGCAAAGTGTTTTATCTGTGAATATCTTCTTGAGTGAGATTACTGAGCTCTCTTAGGGATTTATTGTTTTAAATACAGTCAGCCACTCTAAATGTTCACGTTTTTTCAAGTAACGTATGTAATTCAGAGTCATGAGCCATATATAAACGAAGATAGAAGCTAGGTACATAATGTTTCGATAAACTCCTTTTATTATCTAGCTAATAGTAATGTAATGATATATATATATATATATGTATATGCTTCCATACCACTACCATGGATCAAACTCAACACATCGGGGTCACAAAGTGGGTCGTTAATGATAATTCAGTTATTGGTACCCCACCTACTGGCTCAAGAATTCTAACTTCTACTGATTCGTGATTTTTGCGTGACTGCCACTAGTAGAAATCATCAGTGGCTAATATTTGTCTTCATCCCCGACTGATGTGGTGGAGTCCACTGGCCACAAATTCTCACTAGGACTACAGACAACTTTGACCTCTTTTACCCAGTCACTAGCCAGTATCACATGAACTTCCAGGAGTTAGTTTGTCACTGAGATTTGATTATTTTGAGGTTTGATGGTGAGA